CCATCTGGTTCACTAATGTCCTTTAGGGAAGGAAACTGCCATCCTCACCTGGTCTGGCCTACATGTGACTCCAGACCCACAGCAATGTGGTTGACTCTTAACTGCCTTGGGCAATTAGGGATGGGGCAATAAATGCTGCCTAGCCAGTGACACCGTCATCCCATGAATGAATAAAGAAAAACAAAACTCCAATAATTTCCTTAGATCGCTAAAAATGCAGTGGAACAGCTTTATCATTTCATTTGAAGGACTGCTCCTCCCACACAGCAACATTCCTTAGAATCAGCCATGATAATGTGCACGAATCTTGGAATGAGACTTGAAGTCAATCCTTATTCATTCTCTGGAAGTTCATAATTTTGTTTTAACAATGATTATAATCACACACATCTAATTCTGGGGCCAAGTGTTCTGTGTTTTTATCCAGAGATGCATACAAAAAAATTCTAATCCTGTCCTATACTGGCCTTGGGCTCAGCATTACTTCAAACTAAAAAATATCTTCTTCAGGTTTGAGTCCTGTAATGTTCCTACTCTTCATCCTTTACAAAATCTCTTTCAATCCTACTCTTGAACCCTGTTCTTTTTGGTCTTTGATCACTTATGCATTTTCTCTTTTTTTTAATGTACTACTGACTGCTATGCCTTAAGTCACTCTTTTTTTAAAATTCAATCATGACACATGAACATTGCTGGCCGGGCCAGCATCTATTGCCCATCCCTATTTGCCTTTGAGAAGATAGTGGTCAGCTCCTGTCTATGTCCTGTAGGTCCCAAATTCCAGAATTGTCTCCCTAAAGTCCTCTGTCTAGTTTCCCTCTTTCAAAACCTCATTTTTGACCAAGTGATTAATAGCTCCTTCTGTTTCCTGCTTCTTGGTTTGGTGTCTATTCCTCACATCACATTGGAAACCTTTTCTTATGCTGCATGTGCTATATTCTACAGTTTATAGTTCAAACAAGAAAAGATTTGTGATGGAAGGTGTCATCAACAGTGCTACCAAGCAGCACGTTTTTAGCAACAACCTGCTCAATGACACCCAGTTTGGGTTCTGCCAGGGCCACTCAGTTCCTGACCTCATTTCTGTTGTGATTCAAACATGGACAAAGGAGCTGAATTCCAGAGCTGAGGTGAGAGTGACAGCCCTTGGAATCCAAGGCCACATTTGACTGAGTGTGGTATCAAGGAGCCTTAGCAAAATTGGAGTTAATGGGAATAAGGACAAACTCTCTACTGGTTGGATTCATACCTGGCACAAAAGAAGATGGCTGTGGTTGTTGGAAGTCAGTCGACTCAACTCTAGGATGTCTCTGTAGGAGTTCCTCAGAGTAGTGTCATAGGCCTATCAATCTTTGGCTGTTTCATCAATAACCTTCCTTCTATCATAAGGTCAGAAGTGGAGATGTTTGCACAATGTTAAGCAGCATTCATGACTCCTCAAATACTGAAGCAGTCCATGTTTCGACGCAACAAGACCTGGACAAATTCCAGGCTTGGGCTGACAACTGGCAAATAACAGTCCCGCCACACAAATGCCAGGCAATGACTATCTCCATTTAGAAAACATCTAACCACCACTCCTTGACATTCAATGGCATTATCATTGCTGAATCCCCAATATTAACCCCTGGGGGTTCCCATTACCAGAAGTTAAAATGGACTTGCCATGTAAATACAATGGTTACAAGAACAGGTTAGACGCTAGGAATACTGTGGTGAGTAATTCACTTCCTGACTCCCTAAAGCCTGTCTACCATCTACAAGGCACAAGTCAGGAGTGCAATGAAATATTCCCCCTTGCCTGGATTAGTGCAGCTCTAACAATACTCAAGAAGCTTTACACCAGCTTTACTTGGTACCACAGGCACAAGCATCCTTGAATAAGACTGAATAGCCATGAATAAACATCAGCCAAAAGAACTTGTCTGCTTTCTTTAAAATGTGCATCTTTTATGTCTACCTGAAAGAACAATTGAGGTCTTGGTTTTATGTCTCATCTGAAAGAAAGTGCCGTGTAATGTGTCTAATGCTGAAGGAAAAATAATAATTATAGAGCTGGAGTGAATTATTTTAAATTTTAAAATCTTTTTCCTACTTTGTTTATTTGTTCTCAATTTCAGTTTGTGTAATAAGATTAGCTGCACAAGCATTGTTTATTATCATTATGTACTTAGATCTACAATAGAATGCAATTGTTTAGTTTATTCAGTACAATACAGATGCAGCATGTATTTACTTAAATTCAAACAACTGCAGTGTAATTAAAGCAATACATTGACATGTTAAATACTAATTTGTTAACATTGTAAGAAATTTGTTGCAGTAGGTAGTTTTTGAAACTAATCATTATGAAGATGTTTCAAATGGCAAGAGAACCAACCTCGCCAGTTAACAGAGACAAAAATAGAAATTGCTGGAAAAGCTCAGCAGGTCTGGCAACATCTGTGGAGAGAAATCAGAGTTAATGTTTCGGGTTGAGTGACCTTTCTTGCAGATTAACATCTGTCTTAAACTGTTAAGAAGGCTTTCTGTAATGAAAAGCTACGCTAAGACTGCATTATAAAGAAATATTGAGTAAGTCATTAATTAGTGTACACTGCCCTGGTCAGACTGTATCCAAGCACAGTCTCCAGATACTTCCTAACCAAGACAGTTAGCCTCGTGAAGCAGTTATGAGAAAAGTCACAGGGTTGATGCCAACAGATGACCATGGACTGAGGATACAATAGAGAAGCTGGCATTTTCTAACCTTTTAAGAGCCTTTTGGATTACATGGTTGTTTCTTTATTTTGTTTGCTTGACTGAGCTGAAATTTATATGACAATCTACTACTTGAAGATAATGTTTTAAATGTTGTGTTACATTACATTTTGTTCTACGCAATGGTTACCTTAAAATAATTCTCACAAAGTAGCTCTTCCCATGCTAGATCCTAAGTAGTTAATGCTGGCTCACTATATGAGCTGAACATGGTGCTACCCTGTCTCATGATCAACACCCTTGCATTTTGGACAGGATCCAACAGAATGTCAATGGATAATAAGACATTTAGTCCATGGTTACCTTACCAAACTTAGCAGCATATGTGGGGCCTCAACTGATGCCTTGCTTGGCTAACTTATCTCAGATGGGGTATTGGTGCTGGAACATTCTGACATACATTTCTCAGTGGCACACTGCAAATCATCTTCAGCCAGTGACTCGTAATGAGTCCATGGTTGAACTCTACTTGGGGTTTGCACAACCTGTTTTATTTTGGAATTAAACTCATGAAAATGATGATGAGTTCTGTTCTTTACAGATATATTGGCATTTTCACGTTGAAGGCTTTTTGCTCTAGGATTTAAAATAGAATCCTGACAGAGAATCATATATGTCAGTGGAAGTTTCAGTTTTGAAAAGGGAGAGAATAGTAGTAACAGACTGCAGGCCTATGATACACTTTGGTTGATATTTCTATCCATTGTCACCAGTTTTACAGCTCTGCTTCAGGGCAGCACTTTTAGCTTTGTGTGGTTTTGTAAGGTAGTTGATAGCGAACTAGTTGTTCATTTTACATTTCTCTCAAAATTGAGATGTTAATTTGTAACCAAGTGTTTATAATAAAGTTAAAATTACCTCCCAAATTGTTCGGTACACTACATGAATTGTTTAGAATCACATTAGTGTTTAGATGATAGGAGTATAGTACAGACTCTTAGCTCTTCATCACAACAAGGTTGCTTGCTTTGAGTTTTCTTTGCACTCTTATTTAACCATACCAGCAATTCAAAACAGTACAACTTTTTCTCAAATAAAAACAAAGAAGAGCTGGAAAAAAATAGTCAGCAGATCAGGCAGCATCTGTGAAGTGAACAACCCTTCACTGACATTTTCTTCAGATTTTTTCGTTCTTATTTCAGATTTTCTGCATCCGCAATACATTGCTCTTGCCTTATTTCAATATTAAATCACAAAGTATTGTCATTGAAATGTATGAAGGTTCTCCTGCCACAGTGGAAGGCAGATGGGACACCCATGTCTATAATTAACCTCCTGGATATAAAGCTAAGAATTGATTTCTGCTATTTCCTGGGGGGTTCTAACTAGTGTCCTCACCATGTTATGGTGAGACAACTAGAAAATTTTCTCAGAATTTCAGAATCATAAGTGTTCAAACTATTATTTTAAGACTTGAAGCGAGTGCAGTTTTGGGTAGGAGACACACACAGACACACACACACACACACACACACACACACAATGGGCGAAAAGGCTTGGGTTCAAGTATCACCTGTTAAAGAGATGTGTCATAGCCTGAACCTGAACAGGTTGATTAAAAATATCCACATGCAAAAGTCTAACTTAATGACATTTATGTGCATGCTTCCAAAATAGTTGTCATATTACCAAGATACAATAAATATTTTATCAATGCTAATTGAGAGGGCTCTTAAAAATGCATACAGGGTCTTTGGCATTAAGAAATGGAGGCATGGAATACAATAACAAGGAAGTTATGTCAAGTTATTTACAGTTATTGGTTGGGCTTTCATGAACCTCAATAACATTATTCAAAATGATGAAAGATTTTAATATAAAATAGTGAGTGGGAAGTTGTTTACAAAATTTGGTGGGTTGGTAAGCGGAGGATACAGATTTAAGATAACTGGCAAAAGAGGCATAGAGATGATGAGGGGAAATTTGTCGAGGCATCAAGTTTATATTTCTGAATGCACTCGCCTGAAATGGTGGAAGGTAGGGGTAGGGACAGAAGTCACAGGCCCCGGAGCGGTTCCTGTGTGTCCCCTAGATCTCCAGATACTAGGTTTTGGGCGCCAATATACCCCCCTGTTCTGGGCTCACTCAGAAGCAGACAATAATAACATTCAAAAATTGATTGAATAAATCATTTTGAGCTGGATGATCCTACAAAATGATTTACACTACTGAAAATTTAGTCCTTCACATTTAATTTATTATTATAATATTATAATATTAGAAGCTTTCAATATTTCTACTTAATTAGATGAGAAGATCATGAGGTTTTTTCGTGTGTTCTTTTCGGGTTTCAATAGGATAATGTAACACTTGGGGGCAAAGATACACAGTAACAGGCCAAAGCTAGATGATAAAATAGCAAATGCATATACAACAGCAGAATATTTCTCTGGGGAACTTACATAAACAGGGAAAAAGGTAATCCAAACTGCAAAGAAGACCAGAAGGCTAAAAGTTATGTGTGTAGCTTCGTTGAAGCTGTCTGGGAGTTTTCGAGCCAAAAATGCAAGAACCAAAGTTACAACAGCCAAAAAGAAAATGTAGGTGAAAACAGTACAAAAATAAGTGATGGATCCTACCTGACATTCCAAGCTCATGATATTTTGGTAATACTTCAAACTTTTGAAGGGGAAAGGAGGAGAAAGTATGATCCAGACAATACAAATTACACACTGGACTGAGGTCAGGATTAAAACAAATATTCTCTGGCATTTGGGACTGAACCATTTCACCAAGTGGTTGTTGGGAGATAGTGTCTTAAAGGCCAACAGTACAACCATTGTTTTGCCCAGAATACCCGACAGGCATAGAGCAAAGGTCACACCAAATATCGTGTAACGCAGTCTGCAGGACCAGGGAGATGGGTGTGCGATAAATAACAGAGCACTCAGGAAGCAGAGAAACAAGGACAACAGCATAAAAAAACTCAGTTCAGAATTATTAGCCTGGACAAGTGGTGTGTGTCTGTACTTAAAGAAAATGACAGCCATTGCTATTGTTAAGCAGGCTCCGCCCCCTGTGAAGGAGGTCAAAGCTACACCTAAACTATCTTGAAATGAAAGGAATTCAATGTCCTTCAGTAGACACTCATTTCTGTATTGGTTCGGCCAGTATTCCAGTGGACACCTCGTACAGGACAATGCGTCTATTTAGAAAAGAGAGACACATGGTCATTTGAGAAAATATTGCCTATACCAAGGACATTTGGAGAGATTTATGAGGAGTTAATTTATAGAATTAAGTAAAAACATGTGGAAAGTTACAAATAATAACTGAATGCAATATTGGGCTTTTCCTTGAGGAGACAGCAATATATGAGGTGGAAGCCACATGGTAGTCATATGATCCCAAGCTTCCAGCCAGTCACCATTTTAATTCTTCAGCTTGCTCCCACTTTGACCTCTCTGTCCTTGGCCTGCTGCCATTTTCCAATGAAGCACAAGTGTAAACTCAAGGAGCAGCACAACATCTATCAACTAGCTATTCCACAGGCTCCTGGACTTAGCAATTTTAGATCATAACCTCAATATCTATCTTATTTCATGCTGTTTATATTGCTGTTTCAATTTCTAAAAGCACTTGATAAGGTGCCCAATCATAAAGCCACAGCAAAAAATAAAATCTTATGCTGCAGGGATTAACGTGTGGACATGGATACATACATATGTGGATTAGACACATAGGCATTGTTTGGCCAACAGGTAACAGAAAGTTGGAATAAATGCTTTACTAGTTGGCTAGATGTGTGTTACAGGGGTGGGCAACAGGACCTCAATTGTAGAAATTACTTAGATGAAGGTACAGAGCTTGTGAATACTAATTTTGCTGATGCCACTAGGTAGTTACAAAATAAGTCATGAAGAGGACGTAAGGAGCCTACAAAGGAATATTGATAGGTTAGGTAATTGGACAAAGATATGGTAAATAGAGTATAATGTGGGAAAATGTAAAATTGTCCATTTTAGCAGGAAGAACAAAAACAAGCATTTTATCTAAATGGTGAGAGATTGCAGAGCTCTGAGATTCAGAGGGATCTGGGTGTTCCCATTCATGAATCAGAAAAAGCTAATATTCAGTTATTCAGTAAGTAGGAAAGCTACTGGAATGTTATTGTTTATTGTGAGGAATTAAATACAAAGGTAGGGAGATTATGCTTCAGTTAAATAGGAATCTGGTGAGACCACATCTAGTGTGTTGTGTATGGTATTAGTCTCTTTATTTAAGGAAGGCAATAACTTTCCTGGAAGTAGTTCAGGGAAGGTTTACCAGACTAACACCTGGAAGGGGCAGGTTGTCTTATGGTGAAAGGTCAGACAGATTAAGCTTGTATCCACTGGATTGAAACATTTAAGATCCTGAGGGGTCTTAACAGGTTGCATGCCAAAAGGATGTCTTTTCATGGGAGAACTAGGAGTAACTGTTTAAACATCAATGGTACCCCATTTAAGACAAAGATTATGAAAAATATATTCATACATGTTCATGAGTCTTTGGAACTCAAAAGGTGATGAAAGCAGAAACCTTGGATTTTATTTGAGGTGAATGTAGAATGATCAGGTCAGTCATGATCTTGTTGACTGGCGCACAAGGTTTAAGGGACTGAGTGGCCTACTCCTTCCCTAAATTTGTAGTTTATACATTTCTTTCTTTATTCCTTCACATTGCATTTGAATGGGTTATTTCCTGCCATTCACACCTTTCCTGGACACATCTTTTGCCTCTTGATCCAAACTACTTTTTATTTATTTTCTTTGCTTTATCACAAAGACTTTTTACTTAATCTCTCCTTTGGTCCATCCTAGCACAGGCTTTTCTTTTTGTTCCTCTGTCCACTCTCGTTTCTGATGAAGGACCATCATGAATCTGAAACGCCAATTCTGTCTTTTTCCATGATTACAGCATGACTTGCTAAGATTATCCAAAAATTTTCTACCTTTATTTCAGATCTCCATCATTTTGCTTTATTTTGCACTTATATGAACTCTTGGTTATAGAGTCATAGAGTCGTAAAGCACAGAGACGTACCTTTTGATCCATCTCGTCCATGTTGACGAAGTTTCTAAACTAAACTAGTCCCACTTGCCTGCATTTGGTCTATATCCCTCTAAACCTTTCCTATTCATATGCCTATCCAAATGTCTTTTAAATGTTGTTATTGTACCTGCATATACCATTTCCTCTGGCAGATTATTCCACATCTGTGAAAAAATTGCCCTCAGGTATCCTTTAAATCTTTCTCCTCTCAATATGAAAACATATGCCCCCTAGTTTTGAACTCCCCCATCCTAGAGAAAAGACCTTTGCCATTCACTTATGAATGCCCCTCATGATCTTATAAATCTCTATGAGGTCACCCCTCAATCTCTATGCTCCAGTAAAAAAAGTTCCAGCCTATAGAGCCTATCATTATAACTCAAGCCCACTAGCCCTGACAACGTCCTTTTCTGAACCCTCTCCAATTTAATGATACCCTTCCTCTGGCAGAGTGACCAGAACTGTACACAGTACTCCCATAGTGGCCTCACCGACGTCCTGTACAGCCTCAAAATGATATCCCAACTCCTTGACTCGATTAGGTTTTATTTAGGGAATTTCTTAATTGTGTTCAGCGTGAGCACCACAATTCAACACTATAACACAGGTTCAACAGAATACCATCATGGCTAACAGGTTAAATCATGAGGCCATGTTGCAATGATAAGTATGAAAAATTAATGGGTGATCTACATGGGAGCCACAATAAAAGCAGTTTCAGATCATACAAAGGTTGGCCAGGTAACTAAGTGTAAGAGGAAATTTTGACACTGCAGCAAAACATAGATGGTCTTGTCAGTTGGGTAGATGAGTGAAAAATGAATTTCAATCTGAAGACATGAGGGATTGCATTCTGGGAGCAGCAACAAGGCAAGGAATTATCTAATAAATGAGAGGATATTTGATATTATGGAAGGACAGAGGAACCTTGGGTGACAGATTCCAGAAGTTAGCAGCACAGGCCGATAAGGGGGTTAAGAAGGCAAATAGCTTGCTTTCTGTATTAGCTAAGGCACAAAACCTAACAGCAAGGAGGTTAAGCTTGAATTGTATTTAATGCTGGTTATAACACCGCCTGAGTAATGATCCAGTTCCAGTCATTAATTACAGAAAAGGCTTGATTGAGTTGAAGAGGGTGCAGAGGAGATTTCTTGCTGTGTTGTTTTCATGGAATGGTGAACGCCGAAGGGTGAATTAATTGTGATTCATAAAATTTATAAATTTATAAATGAAGTTTCTGAAACTAAACTAGTCCCACTTGCCTGCATTTGGCCTATATCCCTCTAAACCTTTCCTATTCATGTGCCTATCCAAATGTCTTTTAAATGTTGTAACTGTACCTGCATACATCACTTCTTCTGGCAGATTATTCCAGATTGATTAAAGAGGGATGACTTAGTTCTGTTAGCAAAGGGTATGAAAACAAGGGGCATAGCTTTAAAGCAATGATTGGAAGTATTAGAAGGGAGATGAGGAGCGTTAGCAGTGTGGTGAGGACCTGGATATTGCCACCTGTAAAGGTGTTAGATACAGAAACTCTTCTGAAAGAGCCGTGGCCACCAACCTGGAGCAGAGATTTTACAAGAAACTTATTCTTTCTTAGGATGTGGACATTGCCGGCTAGGACGGAATTTATTGCCCTCTCTAATTGCCCTTTGAACTGAATAACTCCTGAACCACTTCAGACAGTAGTTAAGTGTCAATTATGCTGCTATGGGTCTGGAGTCACACATAGATCAGACCAGGCAAGGACGGTAGATTTCCTTCCTTAAAATGACCCAGATAGATCAACCTGCACAAACATAATGGAATAAATGGCCTCATTCCAAATGGTAAATTGTTCAGGATTCTAATTGAAGTTTTTAAATAATTCAAGGAATTTAAAGGGTAGATGGAGAGAAACTATGTACACTTACAGAGTAGTGCAGAACAAAGGTCCTTACATTTAGAGCTAGACCATTTATGGGTAAGATCAGGAAACACCTTTTCACTCAAGTGTTGATTGAAATTTGGAAGTGTTACCTATTTAACACAGACAAATGGAGTCAAGATACAGATCACCATCCATCTACAATAATGATGGAACAGGCTCAAGGAGCTGTCTAGCTTACTCCTGTCCATATGCCTTTAACACCAGTTAAATATTCATGAAAGTATCTATACAGACCTGTTGTGTTACTAATATCAGCAGCACGGCATTCTGCACAGTCAAAGCAACAAACAGGCTCTCCAGGTCTCATTGCTTTCCTTGTACCAGGTGGGCAGCTCTCAGAACATGTTCCTTGTGGGACCTTCACAAACAAAATACCAAATACAGATCATTTCAGTATGTTTGATTGAATTACTTTCAACATCATTGATACAGAATGTAAAATTTTCTCAGCATGCATTCTCGTGTACATTTTGCACATATTTATAATTCCTCTCTGCCCTTGTTCTTCTCGGTGGTAGAGTTTATGAGCTTGGAACATGTTGTTGAAGGAGCTTTAGTAAGTTGTTGCAATGCATAGAGTCATAGAGATCTGCATCAAAGAATAAAGCCCTTCAGCCCACTGAGACTGTGCTGATTAAAAACAACCGCCTAAATAGTCCAGTCCCATTTTCCAGCACTTGACTCATACCATAGCACTTGGCATCATAAGTGTACCACTAAATATTTCTTACCTTTTAAAAGGATATCTGCCTCTGCCACCCTTATAGACAGTTAGTTCCAGATTGCCACATCCTCTGAGTGAAATGGCTTTTCCTCATATCCCCTCTAAACTTGCTGCCCCTTGCTTTAAATCTATGATCCCTTGTCTTTGTTACCTCCACAATGGGGGAATGTTCCTTCCTGTCTACCCTGTCCATGTCCCTCATAAATTTATATGTCTCAATCATGTTCCGCCCTCAGTCTGCACTGCTCCAAGGAAAACAACTCCAGTCTATCCAAGTGTGGAGCTGGAGGAACACAGCAGGCCAGGCAGCATCAGAGGAACAGGAAAGCTAACG